GGCGATGGGACGGGAGTTGCTCGATGAGGGTGTAGAGATCGATGTTGCTGTTACTACGATGCCTTTCTTTCACGATAAAGCGAAAGTGATAGTGGAATCGGGATTTTATGCTACACAAGATGGAGATCAACCAACACAAACGTTCCTCGCGGGTTTTGACACGATAGTCCGCATTTTCAATCCAAAGTACTACAACGAGGGTATCCAAAGCGCACTGGGACCATTCTTCGAGAAGTGCAAGGTGAGAGTTACGACAAGACCGGATGAGACGTGGGGAGGTGTCGATGAGCAGAGAGCGTGGTTGACGAAGGACAGGGTGAGGGATGTCGGAGGTGATGAGGCTTGGGTTGAGAGGGTGGAGATGGTTGAGGGGAGGGAAGGCGATAGTGATGTGAGTAGTTCGCGGGTGAGAGAGGTTGTGAAGAGTGGTGAGGGGGGTTTGGATGGGTTGGTTGGGGAGGAGGTTAGAGGGTGGATTGAGAGGGAGGCCTTGTACAGAGATCGCGATGCGAGCTCGTAGTAGTTTGGGGATTTCTTTGAGATGAGCTGCGGGTTTTCGGTGATCTCATAAGTTGAATACACAGTTTTTCAGATGCACCAAGAAGCCCATGAGCACCTGTTGGGAAACCATATGCTCTCGTTGTTGTTTCGTGACTTTAGCGTTTCTCTTGAGCACAGGCGCTGCAGGGTAGAGAGGTCAAAACAGAGGTCATTTCACAATAACATCTTGCTCTGCGGCTCAACACTAGTCGCTATGAAATCCTGTCTCAAGTATATGAATATGTTTTCGTGGCTATTCCAAGATAAAGTAATGCTCAGTTCAAAATTTGGTACATTGAGGAACGACTCTGCTACAGAGTATTTCATAAGGGCACAAATAACGAATGAAGCATCACTCCTTTAACGGCGATAATGAGTGTACCCATGCACAAGTGAGAACTTCACACTTTACCATGCATGCATATTTCGAAGTCTAGGCAGTACCACACAGAATCAACTCCGAAATCCGTTCCAACCCAAGTCTCGAACGCATCGCAGAGTCAAGCTCAGCCTCCATCTCGGGCCAAATGATTCATGCAGTCGCATTCTGCTTCCGCATTGGATATCAATTTCGGCGCAAACCTCTGAAGTGATCCACTTCAAAAAATCGAAGCTCTCGCATCGCGCAGGAAAAAATCACCGCAGCATCCACTCTTCCCGCGCTGTGATTCGCTGCGCAGCTCGAAGTCGTCTGCAGTGGACCCCCCTATCCACAGCTCATCAACCAATCAACATCTCCATTTCTGTTAGAACCCTGCGGCTCAAAATAATAATTCTGCCACCAACTTTTAGGCGGTGAAGCCCAGGTGATCCCGCGCCCCACAGCCTCTCTATAAAAGCGCGCCTTCCCTCCCGACCTTTGGACTTTTTCTTCTTTTCTTCTTCATGTCGACAATACTTCAGAGAATCATTTCTATAGTATTCGACCTTCTCTTGGTTCCCTAAAAGAGCCACAGATCCCACCCTGGTTGATGAGTGCATATCCTCGACACCCTAGAGTGAATACCTTGGTCCTCTCGCTCTGTCCGCAAGGATGGCGGCAATCGCTCTTTGAGTGGCTGCTGTATAGAGATGGTTGTATTTGATGATCTCGACCCTGATTGTGGTCTTGCCTTCGGGCGCGCGGTCGGGGTGGGTGTTGATGGACGTCTGACAGGCGTGTTTTCTACTTCTCTTTTTCGTTGCTTGCTGGGGCTTGCCCTGGTGGTGAGGAAGAAGTCGTGATGTTTGTTTACGTGCGTTGCTGTGGTGAATGTGCGAAGCACTTGCGCGATGCTTGGGAGATACTGCTGAACAGCGCCGTCACGTCGCGTTTATGAACCGAAGTGGTCTTGCTCGAGTGCATGTCTGTTCCCGAATGTCATACCGATTAAATATTCTCCAAAGAGTCCTACCCGAGATACGCCTCTGATCCCAAGATAAACAAACCCATGCACTCCGTCGCTCCCATGTACCCACGACCTTCGCGCTCTATGTGCCCGCCCGTCCGATATTCTCATCACTCGCAGCATTCGTTGATACCTCATCGCTTCATGGCTTCCGCGCGTAAACGTACCGCACCATCATGTATCCATGAACCCTCCGATTACCGATCGCTTTTCGCATAGCCGCAAGGAACTGCGTGTATTCCTCCCTCGGCCAGTTCAACACGTTATGCCAAAGATACAGCGTGTATCCTACCGCGGGTCAGCAAGCGAGCAAGAATATGCGACGGCGCAAACATACCCTCGAGATCGTTTTCCAAAGTCAACCTGACGTACTCGCCCAGCTCAGAGAGCTTCCGATTATTGGTCCATCCTCCCACGGGTAGCTGCAGCCCAAACATCGTTAGCAGGTATCACCCCAAACAATCTACCGCCGTACCTTGTAGTCAAATATCCTCACATCTGTGAAGCCAGCCTCTGCGATACTCCTCTCCTGCAGCGCCTCCTGCTGAAGAAAAAACGTCCTCCCCGTTTTCGCGCCGCCTTTCTCGTACAAATCCGCCCACGTCTGGAGTGCAGGCTCGCTGTCTGTCGTTCCGTCATCGGAGTAGAAGTGTATGTCAGCCTCGCATGACTGAACCCAGCCACCGGGTGCACAGCAGCGATATGCTTCTTGAAAGAGGGCGGGCCAGTCTTGGACCGATCCAAAAAGGTAGCGGATGTGGACAAAGTCAAAATAGTTGTCTTTCCAAGGCCAGGTAAGAGTTGCATCTGCGATCTCGAAGTGAACGTTTGGTGGAACCCATTCCGGCTGGGTGGGTGAGAGGTCTGAGCCGATTACTTGTGCGCTTGGATATGTATCTGCAAAGTCTCTGAAGACATGTCAGTCAATTGAACTGAGACGTGGGAAGGGAAACTTGCATTGCCCATATTCCGGAACCAGTTCCGACATCGAGAACTCTCTGAACATGAGGCGGTATGGGTGCCAAGAAGAGGCTGTTATCTAGCAGCACGGTGAGGTAGTGATGAGTGATATCAACCGATTGAAGCTGCTGCTCATCATTCGGCATAACATATTCACTAGCATAGCGATCGCTGTGATATGTCCTCCCTTGAATAGTTCTGTACTCAAGAATGCTCGCCGTCACCGAGTCCGGGTACATAAAACTGGCACTGAGCGGGATACGTGAGTTGAGAATAACAAAACATACGAGATATGGATAAACTCACGCATCGGATCCAAGTGCTGAATCAATTTCATAGCGATCAATATCGGAAGTATCCTACAAACACGAAAAAATGACACAAGATGTTAATTCTCAATGATTATTACTTCTACAAGTTTGACGCTTTATGTAAGAGAGGTTAGGTAGGGTACAACGCACCTCAGGGTCCTCTGCGGGGATGAGCTCAGCCTGAGGAGCGGGGGAAGATGGAGCAGCGGGGGCTGCAGCAGGAGGAGAGTCAGTCAGAAAAGAGGGCGAAGAATTGGCAGTGGCAGTGGGGGTGTCTCGAAGTTGTTGGTCTGCCATGATATATCGCGATCCATAGGATTACTTGATACTTTATGTGAGCGATATGGGGGTGGGTGTGTGTAGTTGGTTGATGGAATGTTTGTAAAGAGTGGAGATGTTTCTGGACAGGGTATATCATATAGAATACCGACAGATGATGAATGAAGAAAAAGAAGAAAGAAAAATAGAAAGGGAAAATGAGTCTAGAGCTTAGAGCTAAAGCTAAAGGTCGGTATAACAAAAAGCAACCTTGATTAGAGACATGGCCAAAGGAAAACGAAAGACAGAGGCAAACAAACCCAACCAACCCCTCCTTCGTCTGCGTCCTTTGATGGAACCCAAGGTAAAGTAATCAAGACAGACTAGACTAGAGCCTTAGGTTGTAAAACCAAAGTTACTTGTACTTTGTCTGTTTGCTACAGTAGATCCCGTCGCTCCCGTAAGCGGTGTCTCGAGTTAGGTGCTGTATGTTCAGTGGGGGGCTGCTTTTAGCTTAGTGCCTCTTTTCTCAACATTGATCGTTACATCACATCAACCTTTAATCATCACTCGTGATAGCTTCAGTGAAACTTTTTTATCCAATCAATTCAAGAGTGTCTAGCCATCGTTCGTGGAAAAAATCAACGAGAACGCCTAGTCTAACTACCTCTAATATCGCAAATGTCGGTCAACCTAATAACAGCTAGGTCCAGTGAATCAGTCTTGTTTGTTCGTAGGCGTGAGCTGCTTCCACCATTCGAGGCGAAGAGATTCATCATAAGAGCTCCCTCCGATCGCCTCACACCACTCATTCATTTCAGCCTTCAAATCCTTTGGAACCCAATCGAGATGAAAGATAACCCGATCGAGACGAAAGCTCTCTAATAAAAGCTGACGCCACTCATCATAATCAACCTCGTACCATTCGGGCATATTCTGTAGAGTAAAGTACCTGTTTACGAATTCCCATTCATAGTCGTAGTGGCACTCCCAGCACCGTTGAGCCCGGCTAGAGAATTCGTCGTCACCCAGAGCCTCTTTGGTCAGCTTCAGACGTCTCCATGCATCGGATCGTACAAAGTACTCATACCATGGATTCCACCATGTTCCGATGATGAACTTGTGGACCCGTCTAGGTACAGCTGGTCTAAAGCGAACAGAAGCATCATACATAAGATCATAGTCGTCGCTGCAGAACGGTCGTATTGCTTCGCAGAGCTTTATCCATGATGACTTGAAGTGTGCAGCGCATACACCTCCAGCTGCTGATATCTCGGCTGTGATTGTATCGAGAGCTGCAAGTATGCTTCTGAGAACAGCTTCCTCTTCCTCGTCAATCATCTCGTACTTGATCATGATGTTGAGCTTTTGGCGGAAATCGCCAGCAACTTCTCCATGCTGCGATTCCTTCCAATGGGTTAAGGATGGACTGTGCAAAGCGGCATGAAGATCTCCGACAAGCCCGTTGATAAGACCCTTATGATCCCAAGAACAATCATTTCTCCCCTGTCCTCTTGCGGTTTTTTCAAGTCCTTCTGGACACTGGTTGTACGAATCTCTTAGCCTAATACCTCGACTGGCATACTCCTTCAGCATCAACTCCAGCAGGCGGGGAGGGATGTGTGACTTGAATGCCACAACTCAATCATATCGAGATAAACATCAACTCCACGTTTACCAATGTTGACTTGAAGCTGCTTCAGGAGTCGTGTGGGCATATGATCAAAGCCTATATTCTGTCGTCCCGGAGGGAGCTCGTCTTCAAATGATTCACTAACCCAGTTAGCTTCAGCATCAGCGCCCCTCTTAAGGAGCCACTTCAGAGACTCAAAGACCTTGCCACGAATTTCATCCTGGAGCTGCTCGCTGCGGGAATTATCCGGACGCTCGTCCAAGTTGAGGAGCAAGGCGTCAACTGGTCGATACTCCTTCATCGACGGCTCGACACACCATGTCAAGTGAACAGGCGCAGCATCATACTCCTCGCACCGACTCATGAGGGCCACGTCAGCTGATTCAACAGCCTTTCGGAACACTTTGAAGTTATTGGCGTGAAAGAAATTGCGACGAGCGATACGGTACAGATCAGTGCAAGTCTGAGTTAGACTCCCGAGAGTTTCAAGGTTAGTGTCTTCGTCTGCGTTGATGTTTTCAACGATGAGCACCTGGATTTCCTCTGGTAGGTCTCGAAGAATGCTACGCTGGGGGTGGCGAGAGAGGCTAGCGGAAGGGGCTGGATTTTGTTGGAGGGACATGATTGTGGTGATGCGGAGTTCTTTAGAAATGACGATGAATTCTTTCGAGAAATAGGATGAACTTCTGGTTTCTCGGAGTGATGGGGAGGCTGTGGTATGACATTTGGGAGAAATTGCAGATGAGCGTCACTTTATACTCGTAAATGCGAACACTGTTTGATGGGAACATGCTGAGAACCTAAGTGCAATGCATGCTGTTCGCTACATTAATTAAACAACAATACTGAAATGGGGAAGAAAAGATCTTTTGTCATTGAACATGACAAGTGACTTTATTCATGCCAGAGCTTTTCTAGACACCCCTGAGTCTTATGGTTTATTTGTTTATTTATTTATTTCCTTGCATGCTTGCTTGTTTGTTTTCATTAACACCGGGACAATCACATAAGAGGACAAAGGGCGTCTTGAGTCTTATGGGAATATGTATATGAGATCAATAATGTCAGTGTCTGCAGGTTGATGATACCCAGCATAGAGATTCTCTCCGGTCTTGCACTCTCTGGAGCAGTTGTGTGTCTCAATCTCAACCAACTGACTATTGTTAGTCATTGATCACGTATCTAGAGTTCTAGGAACATATACATAAGCCAGGTTCCAGCCATGATTTGTTCTTTGGCTGTGTTATGAATGTATACTTGCCCTGAAAGAAGTGAGAACACTCCCAACGATGGCGCTGCGTAGTACCCTGATAGCTCACCGTGAATGCCCATGTCATCAAATCATCTCATACCAAAATAATGACGACCCCCTTTTGTGATCCCATTAACCCAAAAACGGTCGGCAACTAGAAGAATATCCCAAGCCTCCAAAGGCATATTCGCCCAGTCGCATTCAGTGTTGTCTTCGAACTTGGACGGATCGAGTTTATCACGAACATCTTTGGCAATCATTGTCCTCCAAAAGGCCATCTGTTCAGGAGGATACCATGTTCGAGGACGTTGGAACTTATGTATACGTAGCCAGATGCTTCAAGCGCGTTTAGTAAATGATCTCGTGAGGAGAGGAGGTGTTTCCCAGAGAGGTAGCAGACTGAGACGCAAAGCTCGCGCCAGCACCATATGCCATCGCGCTCGAAGTTGAGACCGCCTTTCTCTCTGTGTCTTGTTTCGATCCTGCGTAGAGCTTGAAGGATATCCTCAAGTACTGTTTGTTCATCGCTATTGGTGAGGCTATACTTGGCCAGCAATTTTACCTTGGCCTCCAAGGTATCGGCAAAGAAGCCAGGGTTGTGTCCTTTGAAAATGCAGGGACAAAACAAATCCTCGAAAAGGAGACCGAGCAGGTAGTCGATCCTTGTATAGTCACGCGTATAGACACGATGATTGAGATCAACGGGAGGGTGATGGATTTGGTCCTGCTCCACGAGTAAATTCTTCAAATGAAGCTCAAGTAAAAAGGGTAAGCAAGCTAATTGTATCATCACACTCATCATAAAAAGCCAACTTGGGCCAGCAAATGGTCACCATTCATAACCGTCGCGCTTCTTGTTAAACAACCTCGGTGCAGGCCTAGACGGCAGCGGTAACTCGAGTCCTTGATTGATAAGAAACTCAATTACCCGACAGATACCTCGATGATGGTCTGCATCTGTCGCTGTTGAGAGCATGGTCAGCAGGAGGGGTGGGGAAACGGACATAATTACGTAGCCCTTGTTCCATTTGACCTGTTGCGTATGATACCCGTTATCAAACAACCACTCTGCGGCTTTGATATATTGATCTGACGAGAATTTATCATCACGATACCCTTCTGAAAGGGCATCAAGTGGTGTCCGATTCGCTTTCTTGAAAGCGTCAGCTCTGTCGTACCATTGCACCCACATGCTGGGCTGGTACACGGGTCCCCAAAGTTGACTGGTGGGAACGTTTCTGTGCTTGAGGCATTCAACCATGAGCTCGACATCGGCGCGAGAGCAAGCATGCTCGAAAAGGTCTTTCTCGCCGTTATATACGTGCTTGAAAGTCAGTTGAAAGAGTCGAGATGATACGTGGTGGATGTTGAAATGATCTTTCCAGCACATATCCTGATCTTCAATGATGAAGAAGAGAAGTTCATTGGGTAGCTGAAGCAGACCAGTCTTCTGGGGCTTGGTTTTGGTTTCTGTAGTTGACATTTTGTTGTTGTTATTGTTGGTAATGGTACTTGGTTGTTGTATTGAATGTAGTGTCTGTTTCGGTGTCTTGAATATTGGTATCTCATGCCCTTAGAGCTTACTTTATAGCCATGCCCTTTCACTAACCAGTCAGTTTCCGTGTAGTTTTGACTTCAATTAATGGTTGGTGCGCATACTCGATGACAAAGAGCATCAAAGACTACCAAGGCCTTGACCACAAATAGACTTGTTGTGTCTTTCAACATTCTTTTGATATGAGGCAGCGAGAGCAAGAATAAACGTCCTATAACGGGATCTAATCCGATTATCGAGAACTAAGCCAATCTTGACCCTGTCTTTGTTGAACAAGGCCGAAAGAGAGAAAGACTACGAACTAAAGTGGTGTCAGTCATGTTCTTCTCTTTCTGCAGTCGTTTGTCCAGAGCAAGAAACAAAGAAAATGGGCATATCACGTAAGCTCCACTTGTTACCTATTCAAGAAAGATTCTTCACTAACAGACTTGAACTACAACAAAGACATCCTAGAATTAGTTGCATATTGAAAAAAAGCACTTAAAGAACAAAATGAACGGTTTGGACGTGGGCCGCTGATGTTAGGGCGACCAGTTACGTTACGCAGAGAGAGAGAGATGAAGCAATTACTAACTTTTTAGTGATTTGAAGGACTTGACCATGAGTTTTAAAGACTTTGTGGTTTGCCAGAAGTTCACTTGGTGCGATATCTGAAGTCTCACGAAATGTTAAGCATTAGTTAAAAAAGCGATTGGTAACCCCTGAGGTCTAACTCGATCGAAAGTCTTGAGTGCTTACCTCGGACGTCGGTTCCATTTTGAATGGCGTTGCAGAAGGATTATATACAGATCGTCTGTCCAGAAACTGAGCGTGATTGAGGACAGAAGGCAAAGAGATGAAAGGGGAAAGGGGAGAGAGGAGGGAGGAGAGAAAGAAGGGCGAAGTTGGGGTTTATATACCCAAGAGCAAGAGAAATTCTGCTTAGTTTGGGTTTGACTGTGAATGTCGCATATGCCTAGTTTGAACTGTGACATATTAGTGATCTTTGAAAGACGCCAGCTACAAGCACTGAGAGCCAGCTGCAACTATCAACGCAATTTTGGTGGACGGAAGAATGTGAGGCATTACTATCTGATCTGCTAGTCTTAGTAGACTCGAATCACCACCAGCCCCCTGATCTCAACACCTCATAAGAAACCCCCTTCGTTCCGAATATGCCAGCCAGGACCCGCCTAGTAGGATATTTCAGGTTCCCCATTTCTTAGCCTCCTCTCCCTGGCCCTGATATACACAGCCGTATCACGTTCGCGGGAACCCTTACACCAATGCGGGAAGTCTCTCATAAAGAAGTCCCAATCACTCAAAGGCATGTTCCACCACTCGCCTTTTGTCCGATCCTCGTATCTTGACGGGTCAACTGGTCCTCTTCTCTCGGCCCTTCGTCCTCTTCTATAAGCCAACGTCTTTGGAGGGTACCACCGTTCCCAGTTGTGTTCAAATCCATGAATGGCGGTCTCTTTATGATAGCGATGATTATCCCAAACCACGCGTGCCAGAACTGAATCATCGGTAGCGATATACGCAATTGACATGGATAGCTCGTACCAACACCAGAGCCCGTCTCGATCAAAGTCGAGGTTACCTTGATCGATTCGTTTGGACTCGACTTTTCGAAGACCTCTCAGAATGTCCTTCAAAACCCGCTTCTCGCCGTCATTAATAGAGCTATATTTGGTCAGCACCTCAATCTTGCTCTCCAAATCGTCTCCTATCCTGCGAGGATCCTGTACCGCCCATGAATGCAAATCGAAATGGTATTCAAACAAGCGATCTAGGAGGACATTAATCTCAGTTTCTTCACGTCTATAGATTTCAGGCCAGGCTTCTTGATTCTTGATGGGAGTCTTCAAGGTCAAGCCTCGGGTACCGAGTTGTTTCAAGTGCAGCTCCAGAATGGAAGCCGGACAATCGGGAAGCATCAGAAGTTCCATCAACTCCACAGGACTCAAATCAACTCTTTCGAAATTGAAGTTCCCATTGTCTATATGCATTGGGAACGCCATACCCTTGTCGACGACGAAGTGTATGGCATCGCATGTTGCTTGAAGATGGCGAGCATCGGTAGCATCCCATATCATGTATAGTAGTTCATCAGGGAAAGTACGGGTTTGCCCGAAGACAGTATACCGTTCTCCATTTGGGTCAGAAAAGTGGCGAGTCTCCCGCCCGTGAACCTCGTATCCATTGTCCGACAACCACTGCCAAGTTTCTTTGAATCGTTCAACGGAGAAGTTACCCTTCCGGAATCCATCAACTACAATCTGACCAGGTGTAGAATGGCGACCCTTCCACATAGTACCGGTTGGAGTGACATTATACTTCAGACACTCGACCAATATATCCACGTTAGCGTGAAGGCATGCATTGCGAAAGAAGAATAAGTCTCTGGCTTTGAGCACGCGCTTACCCAGCCTGTGGAATAGGAAAGAACATACATGGCGAAGTCTGCGGAGATCTTCCCACTCAAGAGAATCATCTTCCGTTATGAGTAGAATGATTTCAGGGGGTAGTCGAGGTAGACGGCTTTGGTTCGTGTTACGTATCTCCGACATGTTGCTACTTGGAAGTTGATGTGTGCAGAGTTGATGTTGATTTCTCAAAGATGTTGCCCCGGGTAGAGGTTCCGCAAGTTACTATTGCTTGAGATAACAGTCCACAACTCTCAATATATACTCATATCTCAAGCTCCTTGGTCCGTTTTTTTCATTTCTGCAGAACATCTATTGAAAGTAATAAGAAGAAGACTTCTGGATAAAGGCCTCGAAAGGTTATTGAATTTGACTATGAACAAGACCATTTGGCTCACAATATGTGAGAGTTTTGTCTTTATATTGTATGAAAATCACTGATGTTACTTTCTGAACGTTCAATATATACCTGTATCTCAGTCGATTCGGCCTCTGCACACGCAATATTTACGGGGCAAGGACTATATGTTACTGTGCAATATACAAACAGTACACTCACAGGCTAAGCTCTTTGACTACTTATTTTCGTACCTTAATTCAGAGTGCCAAGTCTTCTGACATGTTGTAGGCAGCTTGAGGGCTTTCTGAAAATAATGGTTTTCTTTTGGGTTTAATCTAGGCTATTCTATCAAAACAAGCGATGCGGCTTCCAGGTACTCACTGCTGCTGGGAGTAATAGTAGATGGTTGGTAGATAGTACTAAGCAGGGGCTGGTTTTCGATCTACCACCTTTCTCAGATCTATCAGCACTCCCCATTAGGGCACCACTGCCGGTGGTGATAATATCCCAAGCATGCAGAGGCATTTCAGCCCATTTCCGTTGAGTCAGATCCTCGTATTGTGGCTCAGTGAACTCTTGCCCAGACATAGCAGCTCTTATAATGAGCTCCACTCTCCTCGCCCATGCCAAACAGTCCGGAGCGTACCACGATGGTCTGAGATAGGGCTGGATCATCTGTGAGTCTTCTGGGCTTGAAAATTGGAGGTCGACTGTTCGTCGTCGAACATCCTCATCCGCGATATAGCTGACTGCCATGCATAGCTGATACCAGCACCACACTCCATCGCGTTCGAAATCAAGACCACCTTGGCTTTCCTTTCTGGCCTCAATTTTCCGCAAAGCCCCGAGAATGTCCCGAAGCATATACAACTCAAAAGCATTAGTGTCCCGATACTCAGTCAATAAGCCAATCTTCGCCTCGAGATCGTCTCCCATGCTGCAGGCCCCCTCTGCTTTGTATGTCCAGGGGGCGAAGATGTCATCAAATACAATCGCGACAAAATCCGAAAATTCTTCCAAACCAGTCTCGTGATACAATTGCGAACGCGTCCAATTGAAAGTGAGACCTTCGTCGTTGACTTGTTTCAGGAAGAGCTGGAGAATGGAAGGCGGGCAGGTGGGCTGCGGCAATGCTTGTAGTATATTTGGCTTATTTCTTCTTTCGATATTATAATAGCCTTGCCGCTGTCCTTTATTCCAAGCCCTGACTTTTGGGTAAGGAACTCTCAGGCCCTTATCGAAGAGGAAATTGATAACGTCGCAGATACTCTGATGATGGGCTCTGTCAATAGCAGTCGGAAACATTGCCAGCAGAAGATGTGAGGAGCAAGGAAACGGCATGCTACCATTATTTATTTCCATAAAGGTGTGTAGTTGGTATCCACTGTCCGACAACTGTTGCCATGCCTCGATGAATCTGTCTGTAGAGAATTTGCCTTCAGAGAATCCAAGTGACAGAATGTCGCCAGGTCCGAAAGGTCCTTGGATGGAGGAATAGAAACCACACACCTCGTACACGTCTTCGTTCCCATCGATTAAGAGCAAAGGCTCTTTGGGTCCATCATAGAGCTTCAAGTGGCCTACACGCAGCTCTGTCCATGAAACGTTGGTCGGCACGGCGTTATGCTGCGCGCAAATAGCTAGTGCATCGAGATCGCCACGAAAGCAAGCCATTCGAAAGACGCGATAGTCTCCTCCCTGGTACATGGGCTTGCAAGCAAGGTGGAATAGGCGAGACGATACAAGACGAAGGTTCCAATGGTCCTCCCATTGCAGAGATTCATCTTCGATGATCTGCAGTAGAAGTTCGGATGGAAGACTGAGTAGAGTAGTCTGTTGGCGGTTGTTCATCTTGTTTAGTGTTGATGATATGTTCTTGTTGTCAGGGTGATGTTGTTGAAAGTTCGGATTGGGTTAAATTGAGTATAGTTGTTGCGAGCTGTTGTTGTTGTGAGCTGTAAGTTGTGATTGATCATATTCGCTTCAGGTTCAAGACTATATACCTATGTCTTGATGTACGTAGTCTGACATTCTAGATATAACATACACAGACTTCATTAATCTTAGAATAGGAATATTCTGAAAGAACGCTTATCTAGACAAAGCGCATCTAAGAATCATAGACTTCGATGAACAACCCCTGGGCTCCCTTTATAGTGCAGATATTCATAGAACAACGACTACGGGTTCACAAGGCAAAGGGGTTCAGGGACTTTCAAGCCACAACACAAACCGAAAGACACATCAACGCAACAGTTAATTGACATATGTGCTCTTCCTGCTACCTACTATTATTCTTCAAGATGTAAATGCTACCCTAATGACCGAGAAACCGATCTCTAATGCTGCATAGGTTGAATACAGACTACATTACTATGAATCGAAGAGAGTCCCGGTGGAACAAGGTAATTAGCCAAAGACAATATTGTGTTCAGTCAAATGGCTAAAACACCAGAGCTTAGATAAAGAAAACGATCAACATGAAACACACTCACGATTCAAGAGCCTACGGAGCTAAGAACGAAGCTATAAGCCGCTTGAACAGCCCCATCACCACGTAGGCCTAGTACCGCCCCTCCCTTTTCCACCTGATTGTCAAACAAAACCTCACCAGAAGCCCGAGCTGAAAACACTGGACTTTTTTTGTTTATCAGCAGCTAGTTAATCGGAGGACTGAAGAAAATGGAATGGTTAGGCACGATATGTCACCCTAAAATTAAACTATTGATAGATAGCTGTTAGACTATTTGTTTAGAGTACCTGTCACAAAGAGGCTAAATCTATGTTCTAGAATACTTCCGGATAGTGACATGACGGATATTAATGGAGTTAACGTTGCAACTAATCAGACATATCAAAACCCTTGGCAGATGCATACCGTAAATGAAGGACATTCCATCTTGAGCTCCCCTTTAGCCGGCCGAACCACCGCATCGGATCCGGGCGCCCATCTACCGAAGCACTCCACTCCAAATGCGCGGAATCACCATTTCAGAATCATCCCATCTTGATTATATCCATTTAACTCTTTAAAATTAAAAGTCCACCAAGAACAGCACTCTGACACTAAGATATTAACATTGGATAGGGGGGGCGTGGGCTCTACAGATAACCCACCGCGCCGAAACATCTACGGAATTCCCACGAATCATATCCCGGACCGCTTCCGAATAGGGCAACATGAGCCGGGAGGGTCCGTGGCTCGATGAAGCATTACACCCCAAAGTAAGGCTGTAATCAATCGCCAACTTCGCCGAATTCCCGTCTGCCAAGGGGGTTTGTCCGATGCTAGTATGATACCTTGCAATTATCAAGACTCCATAGGGTGGAGGATCAGGTTAGCTTACACGATGGACTGAGATAGTATATGAACTTCACGATATCTCACCCACTCTCTGACTTTGTCTCTCAGTATTCCTTCCTTCATTCTTTCTTATATAGCCAGTAGCTGGGTCTCTGGTTTCTTCACTTACACATACATACTGCCACTGTCACTCCCTATCATATCAACAATGCCTTCTCTATTCAAGACCCTCTTCGCGGTCGCCGCTGCTCTACCCTCAGCCCTCGGCGCTCTTCCCACCCGCGCCGAGGGTTTCGGTTCCTCCACCACTGGAGGAGGCAGTGCTGCAGCCGTTTACCCCAAGAGCGCCGCTGAGCTCGTCTCTTACCTCGGAGACTCATCCCCCCGTGTCATCTACCTCGACCGCACCATCAACTTCATCGGCACTGAGGGTACCGCCAGCGAGACTGGTTGTGCCCCCTGGGGAACTGGATCCAAGTGCCAAACTGCCATTAACCAGAACAACTGGTGCGGCAACTACCAGCCCAACGCTCCCAAGGTTAACGTCAAATATGACAAGGCCGGTATTCTGGGTATCAAGGTTGGCTCCAACAAATCCCTGATCGGCGTTGGCTCCAAGGGTGTCATCCGTGGTAAGGGACTCCGTATCGTTGGTTCCAAGAACGTCATCATCCAGAACGTTCACATCACTGAGCTTAACCCTCAATATGTCTGGGGTGGTGATGCTATTACCCTCGACAACACTGACAACGTCTGGATCGACCATGTTACTACTTCTCTCATCGGTCGTCAGCACATTGTCCTCGGCAACAACGCCTGCAACCGTGTCACTATCTCCAACAGCAAGATCGACGGTACCACCAGCTGGTCTGCTAGCTGCAACAACTACCACTACTGGGGACTCTACTTTGCCGGCTCCAACGATCTCGTCACCTTCAAGAACAACTACGTCTACCGAGTTTCCGGCCGTGGTCCCAAGGTCTCCGGCAACACTCTCCTCCACGCTGTCAACAACTTCTTCCACGATGTCCCTGACCACGCTTTCGAGATCGACTCTGGCTCTGTTCTCGCTGAGGGTAACATCTTCCAGAACGTCAAGTTCCCTGTCGACTCCAAGGGTTACCAGGGCCAGCTCTTCGGTGTTCCCACCTCTGGTTCTCCTTGTGCTGCTGCTCTTGGCCGCAACTGTCAGCTCAACGGCTTCGGCAGCTCTGGTACTCTTGGTGGCACCAACACTGGCTTCCTTAACAACTTCAAGGGCAAGACCATTGCTAGTGCTTCTGACTACAACAGCGCCAAGAGCGTCATGACCTCGGCTGGCTTCGGCATGGCCTAAACCAAACACCTTGTTTGAGATGAGGGGTTAATATAATATCACATCTGGCAGCATGTCACTTCTTTGTACATAGTATCCTTTACATATCTTACTGGCCATACATAATAGGCCTTTGTCAATATCAGTAACATATCTTGACTTAATCACGTTGTCACCCCTGAGCTGAAAGCTGTTGCGACAACATGACAATGGTGAGAAAAGACTAACTTCAATAATTAACACCTTACAATGACCAGTCCATAATGAAATCCATCGCATTCCCAATGCTCATAACTCAATGGCCCACCAAAAACAATTAACCTTATTGAACATGTAAACACCAAACAATGCAGACCCTCGAAGCAAGGGCTCATCGAATGTACAATGTATGATGACTACCGTATGTTCGTCCAGTATTAACAGTCCATGTAAATGCACATTCTCCTCAAACGACTACTCAACCCCTTTCTCATCAACCAGCAACTCATGCTGGAAATGCCATGCCCCTTGTCGATCTACCAATCGTCTTGTAGCTCTGGTATTTACCATCAGCTCCCATGACATCGAATCGCTCCATGCCCATAGCATCATCCGTATATCCACTGAAATAATAGCCAATGACAACAACCAGGTAGGTCAACATAAGGATGCTGCCCTTGAAGTAGTTACTCTTTCCTTCACCGTACATGTAGCTCAGCAAGAACACGCAAAGAATGACTGTGACAAGATCCCACTGGGGGAAGAGAAGCGAGAAAGTATACAGCGCTGGGTCACCACCCTCAGGGACACCTGGCCAGAAGGCCGAGTAGAAGACGAGCGCAGGGATCTGGAGCAGACACACTTGCAGAGCGTAAGCCGAACCAATCTCCATGGACAGTGCAATGTTTCCGTTCATAGCGAAGGAGATGGCGTTCTAGGGTTGGTTAGCAATTATCAGTCAAATAGGGGACAAAGCTTCTTACCAAAAACTCAGTAGTGTTGGGAACAAGGGCGAACAAGGTGATGCCGAGGAACTTTTGGTCAATCGAGAAGCTTTCCAAAACAACATCCACAGTATCAACCAGAATTTCAGCGATAATTGCATACAAAACAGTTGCTCCGAGAAGGATGATGGAACTCTTGGCACGACTCCAGTTGGGCGCATCATGACCGCCATGTGCTTGGTGGGCTTCGGTAGCAGGGCCTTCGGTCTCGGCATGCGTGTGGGTGTGCTGACGGCTCGCTGAAGGACGAGCGCTCGTAGCATGAGTCGTGGGTACAGTGGATGGCTTTCGCGACATGCGTTCGCGCGATGCAATTGTCGCAGCCGCGGCAGCAATTTCAGTCACCTCACGTTGGAGGATCTTGTTATCGGCATCGCTGAGACCAGGAACATGAAGAGCAGAGCGAGACTGCTCACCACCGCTGGATTTAGGAGGCACAACATGGGGAGTTGAAGCCGAGCCATTGGCAGGGGCAGTCTGCCCGGTTGTAGAGCTCTGGCGAGAAAGGTCTTCTGTGTAACCAGACTGCTTAAGAGACTGGCCCAGAATACGCTTGTAAAGCTGAGTATCGCGAACATCAGCACTGCTGGTCTCGGCGGTATTTTGAGAATGAGTTTGAGGATGACTGTGAACTTGAGAAGTTCGGAGACTGGATGAATGCATGTGCTCTTCATGTCGCTTCTCTTCAACCTCGGCGTTCCAGATGACAGCAGCGTGAGTTCGGAGAGTGAACCATAGACCAATCAAGTATGAGAAGAACAACATAGCCGCTGCCATGTAACAGTAAGGACGAACAGCCTCCAAGTAGAACCTGTCACTAAGTGAAGGAGCTTGGCTGAAGTAGCAGCGGCGACAGTCTCTGTTTTCGCCGGTGTTATAGTCCTCGCAGTCCATGCAGTTGAGCTCGTGGGTTCCGTAAATCTGATAAAACAAAGTAGGGCCAAAGGCGCCAACAATAGCGAACAGCAGCATTGTCGAAGTCACACCCGCAGACCTGGCGTTGAAGCGCTGCGTCTTTCGCTTGATAGCACCGAAGCACATGGAAATACCTGGCAAGAACAGGATACCTGCGAAAATACTTCCCACGATACTTCCCTCGACGAGCTGTCCCTTACCTTGAGTCAGAGCAACACAGTAGAGGAACACTTCGACAACAGTTGCGAAGAAAGCGTTGATGGCGGCACCCACGCCCATCGAAGATTGAGCTGAGATAGATGCAACAGCTTGTCCGATGAAGTAAGCCAGAGGG